TACATGAAATCAATCATGGACAAGTGGGTGAGGAATCATCTATTTTCTACATGGAATTCTTTTTCATTCACTGGCCCAGTATAAATTCTGTTCTCAAGGAATAATCAGTTCAATAAGAAATATTTCATAAATACTTTCTTTTACCAAAATGTTCTAGCTATTAAGAATTGGAGTGAATGGACAATGTCTATCAAATTCAACAGGCTCTACACTCCTCACATGTCCACTAATGAAACCAAAAGAGAATAACAACAAAGGCCTCACCAAAAAGCTTCCACAAATGGAATATGGAAGCAGGTCAGTGATTTATTGTGGGCAGTCTATTGTATTATTCTAACGGTTATTTTGGTGGGCATTAACAGTTTCAAATTATTCTGGGGCTATTGAGTGGGAAAAAATATTGGATCTGAATGCAGTTTTTTGGTTATTTATAATGTTTAACTTTTTATTTATTATTGATTAGCTTATTGTTGGTTGTTATTTCTGTGTTTATCTGTGTGTACATGATTTGTTAATTTGTTTATTATTTAGTTAGCTTATTTATTTGGATTATTTCGATTTTGTTTATTCTTGTTCATTTTTTCAATTTTTAAGTAACATAGAAATTTGTTTTCATGTCTGCACTTTGAGAGGAGTTTTGATCGTTTATTAAGTAGTTTGTTTTGGTCTGGGAAGTTAATTATAGCTACATTGTTCTGCATGCAATTCTTGTTTAAGGAACTTTCGTTTTTTATTCTGCAGTTACATGTGTGTTTAATTTGTTCACGTGGTTTGTTTTCCTGTTGTGTTTTTTTTAATATATTATTTTTATGTTCTCAGTGCAACTGCAGCTGATTTTTACTGTGATTTTGTTGAAGATCTTGTGGAGAATGCTGGGGGTGGGGAGAGTATTCGTTTATGAGTTTAATTAATATTTTCCCTCCATTTGTTTCTAAGTTTTTGTTGCACAGTGGGTTGAGGCATATGATGTTTCTTTTCTTGTTGGCTTTTTTTGTGTTGTGTGGTGTGTATGTGAGTATTGCTGAAATCCATTATCCTTGAGGGCTGTTTCACAGTCTTAGACTTGTTGAAGATGGTTTCACTGGAAGAATTGTTGGAAAGCCTGCAGTTAATTGATTGTGGTATCTGCTTGATTATTGATGGTGGGTGGTTGGAAGTAGTTTATCATTGGGTCTTCATATACAGTAGTTTATGATTGGGTTTTCTGTATGGTTTATATGTACCTTTTCTTAGGTTGAAGATGAAATCTAGAAATCCCCCCCACTCAATATCCCCCAGAATAATTCAAAACTTAATGCCCACTAAAATAATCATTAGAATAATACAGATTGCCCATAATGCATCACTATATATATATATATATATATATATATATATATATATATATATATATATATATATATAAAGCAAAACACAATGCACATGGCCTGATGATTGCATTTAGCATGAAATAAACTGTCACCTCTGGAAGTTGAATTCACTGTCCACTTATATATATATATATATATATAACTTTTTTTTTTTCTTTTTTTTTTTTGTCCAAGTAACTTAGTGGAATCATAGCTTTATTTCCAAGTATCAAATACTTCTTTTTGTAACTACTACAATTAACTTTCTTTTAAGGAGATTGTTAGGGCCATGTTTATTCTACCTCATCCAAAACTGTAGCCTTATCACTTAAAGCTTTTTTGGTTTCTTGTATTACTCCAATAACCCAAGCTAACTTAGAAATTTCTATGCTTCCTCTACCATTTAACAATTTTATAGTAGTGAATGGCAACCACACTAACTTAAGATAATATATTATGAAAATTGTCATTTCATGAGACATCCAGAAATTGAGGAATTTTTGATAAGGTGAAGGTAAAGAACTGCTACTTCTTGTAAATATATTTCTATAAATATATTTAATATTTTTATATAATTTAACATAAAAACAAGATGAACATTATTTCTCTTAATGAAACTTATATCTTTTTTATTTTAACCAAACTTAAATATTTGGAGTTAAATTACTAAGCAATAAAGAATTCTTTCAAATTTTGGCCAATCATGATTTTTTATTTTGTCAATCAATTCGACAGCTGAAAATGCTTGTTCATTCTGAAATAGCATCTACAATTCTGCACACATTTTCAGTTGTATAGACATAGCACAAGACAGTTAAGTACATTTCATAACTATTTTACATAAATATTTTTAATAACCAAGATATTTTGCAAATATCTGGAGAAATTTTGGAGCAGTGCCAAAACAATTTCATTGGATTCCTCAGTCACTGCGACACTTTCACATTTTTAACAAATATTTTGTCTTTATTTCTTTTCTCAATCACATTTTCCCCAGACTAATGTAAAAACTCCAGTTTTCCCTCTATTTCAGCCTGGTGCAGTTTTTAGAGTATTTAAAATCATAGCTTCTTTCTTGGAAAAGCAACAAAATAAAAAAACAAACAAGAAAATGGTTTCCCTGAAGTACTTGTTATAAACAAAAATTCATTTTCCCTACTGCTTATTAATTTAACATTTACTATCATTGTTTTTTTAAGCTCATTTTGCAGATTGTGGGGGAGGGGAATCTAATCAAGCAATGCACTACTTTTGTCAGACATCCCTGGTCTAAGACATTGTTTGAATAGAAAATTTTTTAATTATCCCCACCAAATTAAATCACTACACACCACTTTAACTTATATTCTGAGTCACCTCCACATTACAGCAAAATCTGTTTTCCCCCCCTTTTACACAACATATGTGGCATGTCTATCTCAGATGTTCTACTCTGCTCCTGTTGTGAATATTCTGATGACACTTTCATCAAAGTTTTCATTTGCAGAAATATTTTAGATGCATACACTAACTGTAAATGTATTTATACACACAAACATCTCTTGATACATTTTGTGATCTTGATAAGTGTAGTTTGTGTATTGGTTATCAGTGCAAAAAGTGTAATTGATATATATAGTTCAAATTCTGATTGAATATTTCATTCACTTTGCACTAATGCCTTTGGAAAAAAAGCATGAATTCATCTTCCTCCACCTGTGTTAAATAGCAGTTGTCAGCCAGTCTAAGAGAAGAAAAACTGAATCCCAACCACTGTAAATAATAGGGCAGACTGGGCCCTTTAGTCATGGTAAGGCAACCCGTAACCAGTCCAGAACCACAACTGAATTCAAAACCAGCTTGCAAAAAGACTGTCAAGCTATACTGCCTTAGACACACCCACTGATGCTATGGATAAAGTATGTGTTGCTTCTATGACTAATAGGACTCATGATTATGAAAGAGAAACATTGTTTAAGAATGATAGTACCACTAGAACAACACTAAAGATTGCAATGTTACTTTTTCATAATAAAGCTCAGAAATTAATAGTTTTAAACAAGACTTGAACTTGTGTCACACACCCTAGAAGCCATTCTGTCATGGGCTAAGAGTATACTGACCTATAATCTTGTGGTAAAAAGCAACAATAATAAAAATAGAGTAATAATAATGAAAATGCTTCATGTAAAAATTTTAAAAATAACTTCTAATATATAGTTGAAAATATAAAAAGGGGTGGTAAAGTAACAATTGTATTCTAATTATCAATGCTACTATGGCCAAAGTGGTTAAGGAGATATGCCTGAAAGAGGGTTTTCTGCAATGTAAGCTGTAAGTACAAGACTTATCAGAAGCTACTTCTCATTTTGAATTTTGCACTGTGATGAAATCAAGGAAATGACTCAGAGTATTGTTTGTAAAAGCAATTATAAAGATGAAGCAAAACTAGCAATAAAAATTAATAAATGTTAATAACTAAATTGTAGAATATAAGTTTAAATTGAAAACCTAATTTTAAAAACACAGTATAAATACAATAGTGATGGGAACAAAAATGTATAGAACATTGAAAGGATAACCAAATACTCATTTTTTTCAAATGAGAAATAAGCTTCCTCAATATTTCCAAACAAATGGCATATAATTAAGTCAATTTGTGATAATATGAAATATTGGAATAAGTCAAATTGAAAGTATTTCATGTTGTGGGGATGAGAAAGAATACAGACAAAAAAAAAAATAAAAAAATCTTGAATTAGGAAAAGGATGCAGATTAAAACAGTTTATGTAAATATATAAATTGATAACACATTAAAATCCTGTAGATTAACAAATTTTATATAAATGGAAATAAAACTCTTAATACAGCTCTTTAAAAAAGCTAAAATACTAATATTATTAAAAAACCTATACAACTTTTGTTATACAATTTTAAGAATGTAACTACAAAACTCCATTCAATTAAGTAAGTTTAAGAGGAGTCAATGGACAAATTTCAAAATTAAAATATTAATCTCCAAAGAAACATGGTTTGCAAAAGTGCATGAACAGCAACACATATTTAAAATATAATTACTGTAAACTAAGCATACTTTTGGAAACACATTTAAAAAAAAAAAAAAAATTAAAAAAAAAAAAAAAATCACTTAACAGATTTTAACAACTATATTAGATTCTACATGTGTCTATGAGCCATCTCATTTTTAACATTTTGCCAGAAATAAATAAAAAATGTTTAATGTGTAGACTGGTGTTACAAATAGGAGGCTGATCACTAGCTTCAGGCATACAATCTATGATGTACTATGCAAGATTTTACAAAAATAAATAGATTATGTGCTTTTCATCTTAGACAAGAACTTTAAAATGGTGCTGACCATTCCTTCTGATGTACTTAAATATATTTTATATTAAATCAAGCATATTTCAGATTGTTATTGCCGAATACTTTGATATGTTAAAATTGAAAAAATAAAAAGAAAAAAAGCATGATAATTAAGCATCAATTATTGCTATTAACAAATAATTGACTTAAGAACCCTATCAAAACATGATATTTTATCTGATAAATTAAGACTAAGTAATCATACACTTCCCCCTTTTCTAAATGATAAAAATGTCAGATGTCTGCTAACTGAATTTCTAAAGCATACAAAAATATATACTTACCAGGAAGAAAGTGCATCTGACCTTGATGAACATTTGACTGTGTGGACACTGGAATAGCTGTAGCAGGCTGTGTTGCCATAATGTGATGGCTAGGAGCATGGACATGTGACCCTAAAGTAGTGAGAGAGAGTGAGAGAAAAAAAACCCTTTCAATAAAAATTCAAAAGATAGTCTGTGTAAGTGTTACATTTTCTATACAAACTAGATATATCCTTCTAATATAGCTATTTACCTAAGTGCTTCAAAATCTGTACATATAACAAATGTACTAAATACTGAGAGTATATTTATACATCAACTACTGATTTTAAGTATTAGATCACAAAAGTTTGTGCCTACTTTTCATTGTTGATATAAAATGACAACTTGACACTGGCGTTTGTTTTGGTGCTGATTTCTAGTGTTCTAGATTGCAATCTTGCATCATTTAGTTGAGAGTCAGACTGTCAAATGTTGATATTTTACCCACAAATGAATGCCTTAAAAGATGGAGGATGAAAAGTTGTATTTTTACCATATTATGATCTAATTAATAAGCATCGGAACTGCAACAAAGAACATTCAAAAGGTTTATCTGGATCATGCTCCAGCTTTTTGAATAATCAAAAAAGTAGTTTGACAGATTTTGTCAGAATGATTTTAACCTAAACAAGCAATCACACTCCAGGCAATCTTCCAAAGTTGATGAAGATACTCTGCTTGCTATCATGGAGAATGAACTGAAGATTTTGACAGAAGAGATTGCTAAGATTTTGAAAATTGATATTTCAACTGACTTTCACAATTTGAAGAGACTTGGGTTAAAGAAAAACAGTCATTTTCACCACAATAATGCAAGACCACATGTTGCAATGGAAATCTTGAAAAAACTTTAAAAATTGGAATGAGGAAAACCATCCAGCATCCACCCTATTCTCCAGACTTGGCTCCTCCAGGTTTGTTTTCTACAGAACAATTAAAATGACAAAAAAAATATTGACTGTACAGTTAGTCACAAACTACCTCACAACCTTCATCTAACAAAAACAAAGTTTTTATGAAAATGACTTCAACAAGTTTGTAGAATGATGGGAAATAGTTGTTAAAAACAATAGAGACTATGTACCTAATAAATGCCTTTTGTGTCTATTTAAAATTTATTAATTTTATAAATGGCACAAACTTTTGCAATGATCTGATGTTTTTAACAGAAAATTTGGAAACTTTATTCCTAATCTTAAGTTTCACTGTTGTTCAATTCTTTAACATTTAATATTAATAGATTATAGTTAAATATTCTTACTAACCTGGCATAGGGTGTCCCTGAAAATGATGTCCATGCTGAACCGGTTGAGGCTGCATGTGTTGTGGTGTATGTGGATGTGTTGGAGGAGGTTGGGGCATCATAACTATTTGTTGGTTTACATGAGGGGAGTGGGTATGCATTTGTGAGTGTGTAACAGAAGTCTGTGGATGCCCCTGGGCACCAGTTGGTACTGACATCTGTGCACCAGTGGCCTGCATGTGTGAATGGGGAGGTAAAGGGTATGGCAGTGACACTGGATGGACACTGGGAGGAGATGTAGGATTATGGGGACTGCCTTGAAGTGGTGGATGCCCCTGGATGCTCATTGGTTGGTAGTTTATAGGGGGTGGAGGCTGAGGTTGAGGAGTTCCAGAGCTGGGCGGGTGCTGTGGATGTTGGCTTTGTTGGGATGATGGGCCTTGGGTTTGGACAGGACTCGGGGCTGGATGTCCACTTCCCTGAGTATTTATTTGATTTCCTTGAGTATGTCCTCCACCCGGATGATGGCCCATGTGCGTAGGAGTTGGATGAGGCATTGGACCATGATTAGGATGGTGCTGCACATGTGTGGGAACTGGTCCAGCTGGAGCCACTAAATGAAATTAAAAGTGTTCCAGTTACAAAAATTTTTTTAATACATAAAAAATTCAGTTTTAGAAATCATAAAAGTTCAATCTTGAAATAATGGTTACAGCTCCATTTTTAGATATTACTTATATGAATTATCTCTTATGAATGAAGAATTTTTTTCAGAAGTTCTGTTTAAATGTTTTCCAAAATATTAATAATTTCATGCTATTGTAGTTTTAAATTAAATCTCATTACAAATTATATTTTAATAAAAGATTAAAATATAGATAAAAATAAATACCATTTAAAAAAAAAAAATTTTTTTTTTAAAATAGTAAAATTGCTCACCAAAAACAGGTTGTGCCGAGTGTTGGTGGTTCCCAGTCTGTTCCATGGGCCCAGGGTGGGATGTTGGAACAAGAGGTACCGATGGTGTCAGTCTTGAACCTGGTGTCATAGTCATCATGTGCTTTTAAAATGAGAAGGATAAATATTCATACCAATTGAAAATTAAAAAAAAAAAAAAAAAAAAAAAAAAAAAAAAAAATTGCAGAGTCTCTCCACAAATTATGAAGACTACTATCCCACTTTCCAAACTATATAAAAACATTAAGTAATCAGTAGTGTATTTTGTTTGAACAAGACTATGGTGTGTTATGAAGGTCACTTATTGCAGATATATTAATGTTTTTATTTCACATCTGCTAATTTGAGGCAAATATTTTTTTTTTTTTTCAATTAAAACTAAGCACACACACACTTCACAGCAAAGATTAAAATTCTATACCAGTATTTTGGGTTATGATATTAATATAACAAAACTATATAATCCACTGATAATACAATTTTAGAATAAAAAAATTTTTATGACAAAATTTTATCACAATGTATAAATTTATAGGCTAAAAAGAAAAACTGTATGCATTTTTATGTGTAATATATAAGCATACAAACACATAAACAGGGAAGAGTTTAGACTAAAATAGGGGCAGGCAAAAATTGCCTTGGTGGACCCCTTAAAAATGAGGACACTGCAGCAATTTTTTTTTCAAATTTGCAAAATTTAAATTTTCTAACTGTAAAAAATATTAATATAAAATCTTGAAAAAAATTGATAAAAACAAAAAGTTTTAAAGTTTTAAAAGTTTTAAAATCAAATATTTTTATTGACAAGTAACAAATTATGATGACTAGAATTATTAGCAATAACATTGCAGTAGAGCATTTTCAAAAAAGAAATCAAACATTACCACATTATTAGTTTAGAATATATTGTGTAAAGAACAAGATTGTTGTATTACTGTATAAAAATATAAAGCCTTTTTCAGTATAAAATCAAAATAATTATCGAAAAAAAAAAGTACAGTAAATGTCAAAATGATCCTTTACTTTCCAACATGAATATTAATTAGTAATTTGTTAAAGATAAAAATATTTTTGCACCTAATTTTTGTTGTCTAGCATTCTGAAGAACTTCTACTCAGTCAATTTGTCAGAATCGAAAAACATTAATTTTCTATTATTTTTAGATGGGGGTGGTGGTGGTGTCCTGTTTACAATATGAATATGTCAAACTGATCCCTGACTTTTTGACATGCATGTAATTTTCTTTCCTTTTTGTGGGGACCAGTCTATTTAAGTATTGCTGTTTTAAAATGAAATGTATTATTATATGCTGTTTTGAAATGTATTATTATTGCTGTCTTAAAATGAAATGTATTATATAATGTGTGTGTATGCATATGATGTTCATTTAATTACTGGTAGACAAATATTTCAAGATTGAAATAAACTTATAACCTTTGTTGAACTTCCTTTCATCTACTTCTATTCTTTGAAAATGTACCTGCATAGGGCTCTAGTCAACTTTTTTCTAGAAAACCCCCCACAACCACCTTAAGAAAAATGTAACATTTTTCATTATTAAAAAAAAAAATTATATTAAGTTGAAAGCAAAAATTGCAGTGGATGTGGTTTGTTTTTTAAGGGCACCTCAGCATTTTGTTGTGGTGCTGCAGTCTAAACTCATCCTTGCATACACAATCTTGTTCTATTCTGTGGTTTTATTCATGCTCACTTAAAACTTAATTCGAATAAAACTATCAACAATTATACAGTTGACTATTCATTTACATACATGAAGGTTACATCTGCACTAGAAATTATTTAATAGTTATGCCCGTTGATAAAAAAAAAAAAAGCTAGAATAATAATTTGTTTAAATAGTTCAATTAAGTCATTTATGAAGTAAATATGAGCAATCATGTTTGAGTAGCAGTGAAAGTAGGCATAATATTTTTCAGAAAAACAATCTACATCTAGATATTGAGATTATTTGATGCTAAAATTAATAATGGACGTTTTCATGTTTTTTTTTTGTGTGTGTGCGCACATGTGTGCGTGCGCACGCACACATTAAAGTTCATTCCAACTGTGATATTTTGAAAACCTTTTTTAATAATGAATATTTCTCACAAATTTTCATTGGTTGGTAAAAGGGAGTATTTCTTGAAAAAAAATGGTAATACTCACATGAGGATCATTTATAATCAATACTGGTTTCCCCATGTGAGAACACACAAATTAAAATTTTCCCCTCCTAAATCAAATGAAACTTATAAGTAAGTAACAAAACTGTTCACTTCAAACTTATAAAGCAATGCACAATTTTGTAGCATTTTCATTCCCAATTTTTGAGAACTCTACACAAAAAATATTCAGAATTTTTCCTTGTCAATTCCTTGTTCTAGTTAATCACATTACATATGGACACAATAATACCAAAGACAAATAGTAATCCTTCAAGATCTAAGATGGAGACAAATCTTAATAGACTTACCATTCATTTTAGAAATAAGTTTAGATATTTAGATAAAAATTTATATAAATTCCAAAGATTATTTCAGTAAATTTTTACTGAATTATGAATTCCATTTGAAAAAAGTCTTTCTAGAAAAGATTTTTCATAGGAGTGTGTCTCAAATATAATCTGAAACATTTGTGATGTTGCTAAGATATATAATAAATTAATTTTAAATGAATCTATATTTGAGAATAAATACAACTTTTTACCAAAGACATTTGAAATTGTTATGAATTATTATTGTAGTGAGAATAAAAAAAGTTTGTAACCAATTTATTAATAAATACATTACTGTTTGATTTTGATTAATGAGATGTTTATTGGCATGAGATTATACTGTACTGTTATTAACTATAAATTGATCTTTAAAGTTTATCTTTTCTAATAAACTCCAAATTTATATTAAACAAATAAGTTTGGTTTTAAAATTGCTTTATAAAATCTTTAAGAAGCTTGCAATCAGATAAGGAAATGAACAAAGGGAGAAAACCAAGCTGCAAATATAAAATTACAAACTGAACAATTGTTGGAACAATGGTACATGAAGCAACAATTAGTTATTACTGGATATGTAATATTGAAAAGTTGGATCAGAAATCAATCTAATGTAACAGCCTCTTAAAAACAAGATTCTTATATGACAATGTTGAAGGCAAAAATGAAAAATAAAGAAAGGGATTAGAAATTTCTCCTTAATATTAGTTCATCACTTCCTTTAAAAGTAAACCATGTTAGCAAGATTTGTACAGTATTGTGTGCTTCAGGATGTGAAACTAAACAAATGACGAATAAATTTCCTTTACGACACCAACACATCTTAGATGAATTCATGTATTGATCAAAATAAGCTGCATAACTTGCTCTAAATTTTGGTGGTTCTCACAGCTCTAGTCCAATCAAATTTTATTAGCACAGCTAGAAATATTAATACAACACCAACTCTTACTGTTTATGAAATACATTACCAAATTACTGAGAACTTGTAATGAGCCATATCCTGAAATTTTTTATTTAATTGCACTGAATGCATCTGGTATCAAACAAAAATTGTTCTTACAGTTAGTAAAGAGGTTGAAAGTAATTTTTTTATCATTTTGCCATAACAATAATGCTGGTAATGAGCAGTAAATTTGCATGTTCTTAATGTTTTATACACTGTTAATGATTGATTGGTAAGGATGATTACTGTTCAGAGAAAATATTACACAAATCAGAGAAATTATAAAAATAGTTTATAATTAGCCAATAACAATATGAATACATTTTAAAGATATATAAGCAAAATTAAAACAAACCAAATTAGTCAAAGATTATACCAAAAACAGGTAAAAATATTCAAGACCAATGTTAAAATTCAAACATCCACTCAAAAAGCAATAATTCACACAGATAAGTTAGTATTCTTACCATAAGAAAAGAAATACCCAACTACAATCTATTAAAGATTCCTTATATCCACTAATTACAGTATATTAGGAGCCATTCCTATTATTCAAGGTAAAGGGAGCCCACCACCCCACAAATAGTTTTCTAACAATTTATATATTTACTGACCATATAAATTGTTTGTTTACATTTCAAATTCATGTTTTATGTTGGACTATGCTTAAATTTTTAAACATACTATTTTGTACAATATAAAATCTTTAAAAAATTCAATTAATATTTTTGAATGAAAATGAAAGGATTGAAAGAAAAAAAGTTTTCCAATGCAATCATTTGATAAGCAAGTGGGAGAAAAGCCGATATTTTTACACAAAACTGGAATCTCCTTGAATTAAGTGCATTTTGACAGCTTCAAGCAGAGATTTTTTTTTCCACACATGTGCTTCCAGAGTAACTCACTCCTCTTGAAACATAAGCTGGTATGTGAAGAGCAATTTAAAGAACAATTGACAAAACAGGTGCAATTTTATTAAATTTGTTCTGATTTGGTCTTTATGGTCTACTATTAAAACTGGAGTGGTTGTATAAGATATACAATCAAAAACATCTTTATAGTGGCAATTCCTTAGAGACCCTGCTATGGTAATAATTAGCAACCTCATACAGCAGACCATTACTAGAGTGTAGTGACTGATCTTTACGGATTGTGTTAACAGACTAACCTAATTTTGAAAATGTTCTCTCGCTAATTTTTATAAAATCTAGTTATTCATTTATTTTGAATAATCATTAAGAAAATGTCAAATTTATTTGCTACACTTAATCTTTTATATCGTAAAAAGTATGAAGTTTGTAATATAAAATTACCATTAAAAATTTACCTACCATAAAAAATGTTTTTGTCAACACAATGTTCAAATCACATAAAAAGCAGCATTTTCTTAGTTATAAACATTTGTTTCAATAGACAAGATAAAATTTTTCTTATTTTTAAATATATTAAAATGAATTAACTCAATGCTAATGTTTTAAAGATTAATTTTCTGATTCATTAATGATATAGGATAAATAAAAAAACTATTCAAATTGAAAATTAACCGTGTAATAGATTGTGTAAAGTATGGTCAGAAGTTAAAAAATAAAAACATAGTAACTTAAAATATTATGCATACATCATTCTAGAAGTTTTTTTTATGTCTAATGTACCCTCTTGAAAATAAATTTTCCTTCAAATATGAAAGCATTTCAAGCATTTTTTTAACACTTTCTATTACTAAACTGAATATCATTCTTTAAATATTTTAATATATTTAAAGAAATAGCTACATAATCGTTTTTATTTTAAATACAAAAACCAGTAATAGTGAGTTAACTTTCAAAACAATCTGAAACAAACATTTTTCAAGTGAGTAATTATCTTTCTCTGGCTGATGAAAAAAAAAAAAAAAAAAAAAAAAAGATTGAGTAAAAAGAATGTATTTAAAATCCAATATATATATATATATATATATATATATATATATATATATATATATATATATATTTTTCAGTACATAACAGGTTCCTTAAAATAACTATTGCATAATAGTTGTGTAGGCATTTTTTCATGTTTTGATATATAGAAAATAAAGCAATAGGGAAAAATTACTGAATTACTCAAAATTAAGGAGAGAGGGAATATAACATTCTTTAATGTAAAAAAAAAAAAAAAAAAAAAAAAAAAAAACATTTACAAAAGCTTTTCAAATTTAAAAGCAATTATTTAAGTAGGTTATCATTTTGCTCTGTAAAACTATACAAAGTATTTTATCTAACACAGGTGGGTGCAATATGATTTTGTAAAAAAAATCACATATATATATATATATATATATATATATATAGCCTTTATAATGAAACCTAAAGAATTAATCATGTCACAGATTAAAAGATATATAACAATGAATCATTAATAATCATGAAAATCATAAGCTTTAAAGTTTTGTCTTACTTTGAATGCCAGATAAGTTTACGTTTAAATGTAAATCAAATAAAAAAAACCTACAGAAAATATCCTGCCATTTGTGGCTTATCATAAAAAACAAAAACAAATTAGAAACAAAATCTCAGATATAAAAGATTCATTAAAGTTAAATGAGATTGTTTCAAATAACTCAAGTGAAAAGGTTAACATAATTGTAAAAGCAAAAGGAATTAAAAGAAAATTATTTTCTAAAGTTTCCACTCACTTTATAGCAATTGGAAGATTTTAATTTGAGTATAAATTTGACAAGTGATGTAGTTAATCCAACAACTATCTTAATTTAAAAATACTGAAGTTAATTTTGTAATGTTTAAGAAAGGGTAAGGATAATTAAAAAGGACAAGAATAAAAACAAAAAAAAAAAAAAAAAAAATCAAAGAAAAAAGAAAAAAAAAAAAAAAAAAAAAAAAAAACAGTTCCTGGAAAATTTCAATCCTTGGACACTCATGACGAAACAGTGATTATACTTACATCAGGTTTTACCATCCAAAGCTATAAAAGGCAAGAGAAAGAAATCCTGTCTTAAAACTCTCATTAACTGAAGCATGTGATAGAGAATCTAGAATGAATGAAAAATAAAGACACTGCTCCAAACAATGGCTAGTCATTATTACAAAATATACCTTTTCAGATTAAAATCTCAGGGACGAATTTTAATTTTTCTTTATAAAAACGGAATTCAACTGAGAAAAAAAGCTATCGGCATAAAACAAGATTTTAAAGCATTTTAACCACATTAAGTAGAACAAAGGAACAAAAACTATGTGAAATAAATAATTATTAAATCCATTCAGTGATTTAATATCTTTGCAATTTAAATATGAAATCCAATAAACCATTGTAAAAGCATAAACCACTTAGATGAGAAGAGGGAGCCAGAAACAAAGAGAAAGTATACAAAAATTTGTTTCCAAAACTGTACACAAAAGTTACATGGAACTAAATCCCATTGAATTTTGTTTGATTAAATATCCATCAGATTATGAATCCCCAAAGTAACTTTTAAACTCTATGACATGAGTATATACCATCCAAAATACAAAGATGGTATGAATTCAGTAAATATCACGAAATTCAGTAAATACTTATAGAAGGCTTTAATTGCAATATATCTTGTGATACAGTAATACCAATATATTAAATTAAGCAATTGTCAAAGATGAAACTTGTTACGTTCAAAACTTTAACCCTAATTGATGTACAAAGTTCAGTAATATGAATATATAGTTCTACTATAAAAAGTTTTTTATGCTTGTACAAATAACTTCTAAATAAGTGATCAGACTTAATAAAAATTACTTAAAAATGTTAATCAGTATTTAAAATTTTTTTCTTACTCCATAAAATAGCCAACTGAATTATATATAGAGATTTACTGAGTGCAATAACTGAAAAATTTAGGTAAAATGTTTACAGAAGTTCTGCACACATGTTTATACAAGGTGCAGCAGAACTACCTCCCACATAATGGTAAGACATTAGTGACAATGTTGTCTTCAAGCTAATATCTTACTATTATGTGGGAGGTATTCTGACACACGTATATATATATATATATATATATATATATATATATATATATATATATATATATATATATAAGCACACACAATTAATGAATATGTCTCATAAAATAAAACAAAAAACTGACAAGGATATTTATTTTTTTCATACTCATTAACATCACTTAGTTCAGTTGAAAGTGAGTTAAATTTCTGTTTACATTCTGAATATTTAAAAACCGTTAATATCAACACCCTTTTGTCAACACAGTCACTCTGAACATTCAGAGTGCAATATACATTTTTTCTTATCTTATTTATCTTTAAAACAAGGGATGTAAAATTAACACTCCACTACCTCCTTGTCTAAAGGTGCTATTAAAAATATCTAAATAACTAACTAGGATGCACTAAGAGTATATCTTTTCATGGAAAACACACCTAATGAATTAAAAAGGGGGAAAAAAAAAAAAGAAAAAAAAAGTTAATGTAAGTGATATAAACTGAATTACGGCATTCCCAAGTTAAAGAAAAAAAGACTGCTTCTTTGAGAATTGCCATTTGTCCATAAGATACTCCCATTCTGCAAATAGAATATCACATGAAACTGACATCAACAAATAAGTCCAATCTTGTTAACATTTAAAAAGATATGACTAGTACATAGTAAAGATAAATTACCATTGTGTAAATCTTTAGCAGGGAAGTACTCATTTACTATTCACACACATTGAACAAAGAAGAATTAGAGAAAGAGAAAATAGCTTATAACAGCCAAAGAGTTGATGGTTTCTGCTGGTTGCTAACCCAACAATATTACCCAATTGAGAAAAGTCTCTCACACACAATTAGAATTTCAGAAATGCTGGAATCTCTTTATACATCTCTACAATGGAAGTTTCATCATTCATTGCTTTGTCTGCATACACAATGAAATGTTGATAGATCTTGCTCCCCACAAATATTAAAATAACAGAGCAGCAAAAAAAAAAAAAAAAAAAAATCTTTTTGACAGTCAAGTATTTCATCATTACTTTGTCAATAAAATTATGTGAATTTTTATTGGATGCCTGAGACAATGCTATGCACTACCCTCTATTTGACCTATATTGAAAACTGCTTTGGTAAAATAGTAAAGAATTTTTTTTGTAATTTGCTTGTAAAATCATTAAATATTTCTGATTGAATCTTATTTCAAAAATCTAGATTTAAAAAAAAAAAAAAAAGAAAAAAAAAATGCATACATACATTCAACATATTTGGATTTTTTTTTGTAATTATTAGCAAAAAAAAAAAAAAAACAACAAAAAAAAAAAAACAACAACAAAAAACTTCAAGCTATTTACTTTCCAATAACAAAAAATTAGAATAGAAGTTTAAAATTTTTACAGTAGTAATTTTTTCTTTCTTTACTTTTTCATGAAATTAAGTTTCATATTCCATTAATAAAAACTAAGAGAATTGTTTATAGAAAAAGAAGCATGGATTTTTCTGATTTGTTTAGGTTAAGATTAAAGTTTTCAAACAAACTGAATTTTACACTTGATGCAAGTGTTACTAGACATCAGGCAATTCATGATGATTATTTGATAACAACTAAGCAGGAACATGGTAAATGTAAATTAAATAAGAATTTATGTAAAAGATTAGCAAGTTCCTGAACACTAATAGAAAAAGAATTTCACAAAGAAAAACGATGAAAGAAGAGAAAACTAGATAAATGAATGCATTAAAAAGCTTTGCATACTTCAGAGTGGCAAAAAATTCTACAAAGTGAAATTCTCTCTTAAATTATCCAAATAACTTTTCACAATATTTTCATATGCAACTGTTTAGATATGCATATAGGTAAAGAATTTATTCAAATAATTGATTTTTCAGTTCTATATTTTTAACCAATATCAAAACTTATACATTTTTTTTTCAAAATATTGGTTAATGGACAAAAATAAGTTTGGCTTGGAAAAGAAAAACAGAGGAAAGAAATAATATGAAAGCTATAAGTATCAGACAATATGAGTGTATAAAATCTTGAAGTTAACCAAAAATTAATAGCACACAATACAAAAACGTGTGTATGTGTGCACATGTGTATGTAACACACATTGTGTGCGTGTGTATAAATATATATAGATATATCTATATATACCTGAGGATAGGGCGTGGGAGTTGGAGGTGGTACTGAGAAGTACGAAATATAGGGTGCAGCCTGGAGAGCAGTTTGGGCCAGTAATGGTTGTCCTGTTGCTGCAGCAGCCTGAGCATTAAAATCATGCCGAGGAACAGGCACAATACCTGAAGAGAGAGAGAGAGAGAGAGAAAAAAAAAAAAAAAAGACTTTCTCAAAAATTTTTTTAATAAGAATATATAGATTATAATTAGCTCTTATTCAAGCTAGTCTTAAAAGATACCATGAATTTTTCACTTTAAATGAATAACAATGCTACAGATAAAAATGTGATTGGAGCTGTAAGTAAGCTATTTTTTTTAAAAAAACTAGTTAATATCCATTCTACAGACAATATTTATACATCTATATAATTTTTAAACATCAAAGTTATTTATTTACAGCTTTTTAATTAAATCCAATTAAAATGAAATTGACATTTATAATTAAATATAATTATATATTTAAATAATTCTGTTATTTTTTCTTAATTCAAAATAATGTTTGCATTGAGAATAGTATTGGGTTGGTGCATAATTATCAGGCGTTTTTGTAGGCGAGTTATTTGTTAATAAAAATTGCCGTTTTGTTTATTTTTTTTAATAAAAATATTTTATTTTCAGTTTATAAAAAATGTGTGTTGATAATCATACTCGTCATATGCTTTACCACTTTGAAAGAGTATGGAAAGCAGTGCAGTCATTTCGATCACAACAAACTTTTTGGTCAAGGAACAATCAGTGAAAGTCAATGCAGAAATTGGTTTGCCCGTTTCAAATCTGGCAACACTAGCTTGGAAGATAAGATTTTGACCATTGAATTTTGACAACCAGGCACTATTGGCAGATGTGGAAGAGGACGAAAGCTTGACAACTCAAATGCTGGCCAAAGACTTCAATTTGGACCATTCCACCATCGTTTGTTGTCTCAAAAAGCTTGGAAATGTATGGAATTGGCTGGATGGGTCCCTCACGAACTATCCAACAATAATAAAGCTGAACATGTTCAAATTTTCACTGATTTGCTGCAACAAAACGAGCAAGCTTCGTTTCTAAAGAATCTTGTCACTAGGGATGAATCATGGCTTCTCTTGAGAAACATCAAAAGAAAGAAGGTCTGCATTTTGCCAGAAGTTTCACCAAAATGAATACCAAAAAATGTGCACTGTATGAAGTCAATGTGATGTGTTTGGTAGGACAGAAGCAGAATCATCCGTTGGGAAATCATCTCAAATGGGATTTGTTATTGGTGGAATGACAATGATGAGCATCAATAGTAGTGGATTCCAGACAAAAACTGCAAGCGGCAATTCAACATTAACAGAAATGTCTATCTGACTCAACTTGACCACCTTCATGCTGCAATCAAGACAAAAAGACTGCACAAAAAGAACCATATTGTCTTCCACCACGATAATGCATGTCCACATGTTCAGTGTCGTCTTGTCGAATGTATTGCCAATAAGGGCTGGGAACTGCTTCCACATCTGCTATATTCTCCCACAGAAGTGCCTACAAACTACCATGTCAATCAATCAATGAAAAATTGGCAGGTGAATAAAGTTTATGCCGATTTGGATAACTTGGTGGCCGATGTCAAAGCATGGATTGCCTCCAAGAATTGTGACTTCTTTGCCCATGGAATTGACTGTCTTCCTAGCAAATGGGAAGCAGTTATTGAAGTAGATAGGACTACATTCTAAAATAATCATTTAAAAATGTTATTGTTGAATTGTTTCTTTTCTCATAATATTGTTTAAAAACGCCTGATAATTATGCACCAACCCAATAATAAAATTAATTTAGCAAACATACAATTTTGTCACGTGTTTAAATAATTTGATACAACTTTAAACAGATTATTTTCATATATTTCAATAATTCATTAATTTTTTTTTTTCAGTTCTACAATTATGGTATTGTGAAATGCCAGACAACAATTGTTATGAATGCTGCAGGAAAAGATTCTAACATTGCCAGGCTTAAAATTCTATAAAATTCTAATATTTTAGAAAAAAAAAATCCCTTCAAAAGAAAAAGCTATTTTTAGAAGTCAATTTTATTTATTTTACATTTTCTTTAAAAGTAAACATACTGAATTTTTTCCCTTCTGTTAACTTAAGACCTGTCAAAATTCAGTCATAACTGGATTTGACAAGGTAGATTATACATTCTTTCAATACAAAAAATGATGAATAAAAAAAAATAAAAAATTTTATTAACAGAAACATTATATAGCAAGTTTTACCATTTGCATTACAATAAAATATGAAATATTACATTATGCTTATAAAACTTTTATGCAAATTAAATGTTACTATTTATGTCAAAATAATATAGTAATATATAAAAAGCTGATAGGAAAATTATTGTTTTAAAAAATAGGCCATTTTAATATAATCATGTAAGGTGGGGATGCAGACAAAATTTAGCCTTACATAATATATAAAAGATGAAATATTGTTGTTATAAAATGATTTTTCTGACATGAATTCAGATCTTGTTTCTTCTTACTGAGAAGCCATGTGGATATTAAATGGTACTGATTAAGTAAAATATTAAACAAACATTATTGACAGAATTATATAGTATTGTATTATCTTTAAGTGAAGCAACTATCCATTTTTTAAAGCTGTTCAGATTTAAAATATTGCTCATCATAAACCTTTGATTTGCAATAGAATCTAAAACATCAATATTTTAATATTGTAATAGCAAAATTTAAATGTTAATGTAAAATTTGAAATATGAGAAAATGTCTCTTCAACAAATAAGTTCTTTTTTAACAGTTTTAATGTCATGAAAATCATTTTTACAAAGATGCAGGTCAACTTTTGAAAGAAATCTTACCCTTTTAGAGTCTAAAACTATATTTATTGCAACAATAATTAAGTAAACTAACAATAGCAACACCAAATAAATGGTACCAATAAAATTACATGATTTACTGACAACTGGACAGTAAAACCTAATTTTTCAATTTTTTTTTTATTAACAATTTATTATCTCTCTACAGAAACTAGAATCATTATCATTCCAAGAACAGCTTGGACTACTGAAATTGTTTATGTGCTACTTATGTTGTTGCCATATTTCAGATGATTTTTTTTCAAGTGCACAAAGCATAAGGGAAGAGAGAGATCACCTTTTCACAAAAATAGATGGCAAACTGAAAATGATGGCTGTTAACCAGCTCATTACTAACCAATTAGATTATACTAACTGCAGCAAGCAATGTAACACAGGTGATCTTAATTTATACATAGAGGATGCCCTTCAATTTCCTCATTGCCAAACAAAGAAAATCACACTGGTTTGATTTACACATTCACCCAAGTTGATGTCACTTCTTTTAAGTTTTTCAGCGTACTTCAGGATTTATTTGGACCTTATCTAAATAGTAATTAGAATACTTATTTCTTTACTCATTGTACAATCTGATGACTAGAGTGAATCGGTCAAAACCTAACATATGCAACATAAAAGAATAATAGAGTTGGTTTTGAAAAGTTGGTTATTAACAGGTTAATATATGAAGAACTTTCAAATATAAACAAAATTACGTTTCGTTGTTGCAAATCGGTTGCTTTGATTAGTAGCTTGTTGTGGTGTAGCTTGCATAGACATAGGAACAATGTATGGTGCAAATAACTGTTGGCTTTGCATTGCAGAAATTGCTACTGGACTCTGAGTTTGTGGCCGTGGTGGAGGGGGTGTCTGTACACAATGTTTCTGAGGGAAAAAAATAAAAAAAATAAATATAAATAAATATTAGCAGATTTATTTAACTTCTGAAGAAAGAATTAGAATCCAAAAAATTATTTTTAATATCAGAATGCATAAGCATTATTTAGTAACTTTGTTGATTATTCCAGAGTTAAAAATGAATTACAAATTCTGAAATGTTAAAATTTTCATCTGAATCGACAAGAAAATAGCAAAGAACACAAGCAATGAAATAAGCTAGAACTTACCTGTGGATAAGTCTTTGGGTTAAATTCCTTAGCATTAGGATTCAATGTAGAATTTTTTACTTTCCTATAAAAACACATACAAAAATTATCATTAGACAAAAATGGAACAAATTACCAAAATCAGAAATTCAAGAAGAAATATTACACTTACGCAGATAATTTATCAGATTTTTCAAATTCTTTATTCTTCTCAGTTTCCTTTCTTTCTTCCGATTTATCTTGTCTTTCTTGTTTCTCCACTCTCTCTTTATCCTTGTCACCAGATAGCTTTCATAAAAAAAAAATCAGAGTTTAGATTTAAGTGATCAGAGGAAAAAAAAAAAAAAAAAAATGACAATCCATAAAAATTATGTTACTAAAAAAATCAAATGAAAAAGTGTAGCAAAAATCATCAGCAATGGAGTATAGAAAACAAGGTTTAATGTTGAAGTTGCCATCTTTTACATTTTGGGATTATTGTAAACAGTTCCTTGTTTGTATTGTGTTCCAAATCACATTAGTATTAGCTAACATACTCTTTCTTTCTTGCATCCAAGCTAAACTATAATTTTAGTTTTCAATTTTAAATAGCAATAACATTTACTTAAAAAAAAATTGAATTATTTACAATAAAAACAAATAGAAATTAAATAAATACAAAAATTAAAACAATAAAAACATTAACATGGAAACAACAAATTCAACTCATAAAACCTACATGACTACAAACTCACTGAGAAAATAGAACACTTTATAAAATGCTTAAGATGGAAAATACTGCCTTTCCTCAACAATATTAATGACAATAATAACAATGGCAACAACAATGATAACAATATAAACAACTTCAGATTCACATCAATGAAAACGACCATATTGAATTTGAAAATAAATGTAACCAATAATTTGGAGGTAAAGAAAAAGCAATGATTTTAAGACTTGGAAAAGATCTATAAATGATAAACAACTCAAAAAATCTATAAAAGCAGACAAGTCCAGGAAAATCTATAAAATGGAAATCAACAATTACTATAAACTAAAGCAGTTATCAGATTTTACAAAATAAGAAATAATGAATAGAAAGTCACATAAATAAAGAAGCTTCAGACAGTTACCAAACTAAAATTAAATAGAATAAAACAACTAGCTTTAAAAAAAAAAACATTTTCTAAAAAAAGAGCATTTAAGTTGAACCATTTATAAAATAAAAAGGCCATAAGGAAAACTTCATGACCAAACCCACATGCCAATTGTTAAACCCACAAAGAAATTGGGAAAATATGTAAACATGAGAAAAAATATATTAAAATTCAAGGAACATTGTAGACATAAACCAATGAAAAAACACAAAACAACAATTGCTTCAATAATATTAAGAATAAACAGAACTATTCTTTCACACAATTTGATATAAAAGACTTGTACCCATCTATTAATGAGAACACAGGGGCACCTTGAGGCAGTGTAATGTTTAGCAAGATTGTCCCGCTAGAACAATTACAATGGAGTATTGAGTTTGGTCCTCACTGAGTGCCTCTACTTGTGTCACATCTAATTTACACTTGGAAAATCACTATTAATGAGAACACATTAAATAATGAACTAAACTAGGTACCTCCAAACATTTTCTAAAAAAAGAGCATACTATAAAAAAGGTCCCAAAGTTGATAAAAGTTGTCAAAATGTTTGTTATTATTAAGAGGAAAGACCAAAATATTTCTTTTATTATTTTATTAAATTTTTTAATAAGTTCTAGCATGTTCAAAATTTTGGTTAAAAATCCAGTTTTTTTCTTGTGTTAGCAGATGGGCCAAAGTTTATGAGTAATTTTAGTGTATTTTTTGGCATTAAAAACACATTGTTTTGTAAATTCTTGCAAAAATAAAATAACTGTCGAATATTAATGAAATTTTCAGGACTTATTCATAAATGAATTAAATTTGACTTTTTTTAAAAGAAAATCATGATAATTTTTTTTTTTCTTACATCCATTATCCCCACTTACTGATATTCTTCTCTGAATCGTAAAATTAAAAAAATGTAAAACTATGACATTTAATTAGAAAGCTTTTAATTGCTTTTATAAGTAAGATATATTAAGGACATAATTGTCTTAATAAAGTTTTTTTTTTTTTTGATGAATAATGAATTTTTACAAGAATTGTTTTAATTTTTATTTTTTTTAATTTAAAGAAATTTAGTAAGTTTTTAAGCCTTAAAATTCTGTATTAATTTTTTAACCTTTTAGATGGTATTATTATTAAGTGAAAACTATATTTACTAATCATAAATGGAAAAGCTTAAATACAAATCATCTAAAAATCAATAACACATTAGATTACAGAGAATATTTTCCCAAATTTTTAAGATTACTGAGTACTTAAAAATTATATAAAAAAGGCACTCATGTCATTTTCTGCAATTACATTTTGATAGTCTCCATAGAACTTAATACAACATATTAAATAAAAGCTACTGTCAGGTAAAAAAATGAATTTCTGTGATATTTTATACTTAAATAATATTTATTACTAATCAGATTCATGATGCTTTAAATCAGCTAATATCCCTCAACTAAAGAGAATTACATTGTGATGAAAGACAATTAAAAAAGGAAAATTTTAAATTTAATCTGTTAGCTTGAAATTAAAACTAAAATAAAAGCTTCAAGAACGATTTTTCATTTTAAAAAATTAATTTCAAACTTTAGGCATCATGTTTTTTGTGGAGGTCCCTACATTAAACTTAACTAAACAACATATGAACATCCCCAACAATGAAAAAGGAATAATAAAACATGGTAGAACATCTATAACAAAAAAAAAAAAAAAAAATATGGGCCAAAACAATATCCTTAACGTAACAATGGAACGCTAAGACGGTGCAAGAGTAAAATTGTAGGTGTGTGTGTGTGCATATATGTGTAAAAAAACAAAACAAATTAGCAACTATAATTAACAAAAAAGATAGAAGTTCATCATCTGTATAAACCTAAGAAGTTGTAATGGCAGAACAACAGACTTAATCAGAAGAGAAATAATAAAAAACTTCAAAAGCTTAGGATTCACAATCAATATAAAATCCAACCAAAAAATAGTTGTCTAAGTATAACTAACTTAAACAAGGGAAGAGAAAACTAAATAATAATCCAATATATATTAATATAATAAATACCCCACTACTATATTTAAACAAAAAAACCAAAGTCACAAATAAAAAAAATTTTCAACAAATTTTAGTAACTTGAAAATACTCAATGAAAACAAGAAAAACATATGAATCAGCTCTAAGAAACAGTGAATTTTCAAAAATATAATATAAAAGGAAAAGAATACAAACAGAAACAGAAAACAAAATATAATCTGTTTCCATCCACAATACAGTAAAAACTAAAATAGGCAAAATATTCTTCAAACTAATTGACAAGCATTTCCCTAAAACAGCAAACTATCAACAATTAATCAAAATTAGTCCTAGTTACATGGGTAAGATGGGAAAAATTAATAACCAAGCACAAAATTAAAAAAGAAAACATTAAGGATAACAACAATAGCAATAATGAGTAGAATAATATCATTAAATGTAATTATAGAAACAAAGAAAATTACCCACCAAATAACAAATGTTTAACCAATAATATACAAAGCTATTGTAAGTAATATTACTAAGAAAAGATAACCACAAAACATCCTTTCATAGAAAAAAAGATGTTGACAACACAACCCTATCAAAATACATATGGATACAAAAAGAAAACAATATCCCCACCAAAGCTAAATGGGAAATTATAAAGAGCACCCCATACAGTATTACCAGCTAAAACTCAAAATTATGCTTAGAGGTCAAATTACAATTAGAAACCAAAACAACTAAAGAAAAATGAAATAATGGGTAAGTGCAGACATATAAGCAAGATTTATATATTTGCCATTTAATATATATATATATATATATATATATATATATATATATATATATATATTTGGGCAACTTGAGGCGGTGGAAAATCACTATATATATTATTCATTTTAAAGGCATCAAAAATTTAGTATGATCTGACTGTAATTGAAGAGCAAAAATGCTAGCTTAACCTTATCTTTTTGCATAAATTTCTTCTTTCAATAACACTACCCAAGAAATATCCCAAATTGATTTCTATGTAAACTTCAATCACTAAGATTTCCACAAAAAATGTAATAAACGTTACTTACTTTTATGTTTGAACTAAACTGCTTGAGGGCTTGTATTTCCATAGCTCGTTCTATTAATAAATTTAAACACATCTTTAACACTTTAGACATAACAATCTTCATAAAAACAAACTACCAGCAAAACTATTGATTCAAAGTTACACCAAATTACAAAGTAGGTGACAATCATGCCTTTAATAATTAAATAGCACCAGTTAACAATATATAGTGAGCTGGAGAATGCTTACAGAATGAAATATCACTTTACTTCAAATTAATCTGGATCCTATTTACCATGTAAGGTTTTCTTTTTTAAACTAACAAAGTATAACTTTTTTTTTTTTTTACTGCATGAGAGATTTTACTATGATTATAAATAGGGTACAAAATTATACTTACCTCCTTTGGTGTTTGAATTTCTCCGACAGTCATCAGAAACTGAAGTAGCATGTACAGTATCTTTGCTCTCTGCAGGCACAGCAGGTGAACGATCAGTTGAACATTCTTTTTCTTCTTTTTCAGATGCTACATGATGTTAAAGCAAGGAAAAAAAGAAAGGGTTTTCCACATATTAGAAAAAGTGAACAGTAATATTTAAAAATTTATTGAGAAAGAGAGAGAAAGAGAGAAACTTACTTCCATTTACTTTAATACTTTCCAAAGTTGGAGAGACAACAGGAGATTCATTAACTTTGGAAACTTGTGGTTGTTGCAAGGGCAAGGATTGTGGCTGAGGTGGCTGCTGTTCTCGGGATTGGGCTTGTTGAGAATAATTACTATGACTTGGCTGAACAATTTGGGGTTGAGATGAAGATATCTGTTGTGAAGCAGCAGAGGTTAACTGAGGCTGCTGCGTACTTGTTGTAGGTGTTGCTGTGGTGGTTGATGGTGGTGGAGGTGGTGGTGGTGTAGTTACTTGTGGTTGCTGCTGCTGTTGCTGTGACCCTGTTGAAGGTACAGTTGCTGGAGATGTAGATAAACTGATGCATGGCTTACTTTGAGGGGTATTGCACAGAACCTCCCTGCTGTTACTGCTATTACTACTATTGCCATTGTTGTTATTATTCAATACTTGATTACTGTTATTCAGATTACTAGGTGAGTGACTACCACCTCTAAGACTGGCACCACCACTTCGATTTGGGATTTTACGCCCAGGGTTTCTGACAAAAAAAAAAAAAAAAAAATTAAAAAAAAATGTATACTCAAATAATTTTAGAAAAAAATTCAATTTTTATAATATCTCCATATCAAAAAGATATGGAGATATTAGATTACATTAATTATTTAATACATTACATTTGACTTTAGAAACAATTTTCTGCTTTTGTTGCAATATCAAAAGGATTCAAAACTTGAATTTTATAAGCTTTGTTTTAAGAAAATTTTTCTTTTTTATATTTATGATCTTACCTCCCTGTTCCTGCATTATTATTTGATACCTCTGGTTTTATCACAGCAGCAAACTTTTCTTCATCTTCACCTTCTCCATTCTCTAATGATATACGATGTTTGTAGCTATCACTTCTTTCTATTTCATCAGCTAACTTTGCAGCTGCTTCTTCTCGTTCCTTATATTCCTTTGTGTCTCTTTTTTCCAATGGGGTTCTGAAAATTAAAATAAAAACATTTAACATAATACCAGAATATTTTTGATGCATTCACACTTTTACATTTTAAACAAAAGTAATTTCATCATATCCAATAAACCTACAGGTTACAAATTATTTTATAATGTATAATGAATGTAAAATTGAGTATGATGAGTATGCAAAAATGTAGACTAGATATTAGTCACTGTTAAAACAAAAAAAAACACATACTTTTGCTCATATATGTGATTTAAACCAATCTATATAATAAATGCAAATGTCAGGGTGTCACACATTTTCAACTTTACTCCTAGAGGGCGTAGTCCTATATATATCTTACCATTTACAAATCAGGCTGACTGTGAACAAATTAAAAACATTCCGGGCCAGATTTGGACCTACAATCCTAAAATTTTGGATTCATAAGTTTTAATTAGTGTCATTGTTTTCAGTGATATTTTTACATGACTTTTGCAACAAAGTTTTTTGCATGATAATATTTGTGACTTGGAAATAAATTTGAGAATAATCAAAATTAACTGAAATCCAGCAAAGTCACCAATGAAATAAAAATAATTTGTATGGAAAGTAAGAGAACCTATGTACATCAAATTGCTCTTAAATTAAGTGGTAGCAGAAGAATTATCATTGAATGTTTGAAAGGTAAGCTTAAATATTAATGCAATACTTAAATGTAGCGATCAATTTTGAGTTCCGTAGTTTATTGTTGCCTATTTCATCATCTACTATCCACCTATTATGATGAAGGCCCAATCAAGGGCCCTCTGCAGGAGTTAGCTTAAATGCTACCCAATAGGTCTGCTTTTAAGCTAGTATTCTATATACTCTAAAAGTTTGATCATTTTAAATTTTCAAATTAGGCAAAATGTTGGAGGCCTGCATTTTAGTCAATGATTACAATGTTTCAATTCAATTTACTTTTGTCAGATTACAAAAAAAAAGAAAAAGAAAAAAAAAACAACAAAGAATGAAAATTCAATTGCGCTTAAAATAAGCAAAATTAACTTACGTGTATTGAGATAAATTTTCATCATATGTTGATTTCACATTGAACTGCTCATAGTTAGTTTTAAACATATCTGAGGGATCCCAACCATTCTAAAAAGAAAATTTAGAATTATACATAAAAATAAAGTTAGCTTAGAATGATATCGATTAAATTAACAATATAATCATTGATTACAGCTTAAGTAACCATTTAAGCCATAAGACATACAATAATATATTCTCAAGTTCAGAAAAAAGTATTCTAACAAAATTAACCAGAACACACTTAGGAAGTGCATACTTCTGCCAACATTGTCAATAAAAGTCAAAGGAAAATGAGTTCAAGGGAGGTAAGTTTCGCCCCGCCCCCGCCTCATATTTTGAACAATTGTTTTAATATAAAAAAATACTCAAGTGAAGGTGGAGGGAGAAATAATAATAACTTTCAGATTTGCTTTCAAATTACTTGTTCCTCTGCCCATGGCCCACTTTTCCACAATGTGTAATTATGTGTAAAAACAAATATGAGTGAATACATAAACTTTATTGGCAAATAGAAATTATAAAACCAATAAAATCCATTTGCATATGCATAAAAAAAATTCTATAAAACTAAAAATATGAAAACTAAAATGTTTTAACTTACAGATGCATCACTTTCTAGACTAGTCATTTTCCCATCTTCTATGTCACCTTCCCAAGGTGTAAGGTCTTTATCAGGTAATTGTCCATTCAAGCGAGATGAAGGCTCTGGATATGTGTCTTGGATCAAGAGTAAAAGGAAAAAAAAAACTGATAATTTGTGATATTAAAAAAAAAAAAAAAAAAAAAAAAAAAAAATATCAAGAATTTATTTCTTGAATTTATTAAGGTAAAAGAATACAGCACTGAAGGTTCACTTATTGCCACAACATGCTATGATCAACAATGAAATAAAAGGCCAGGAGCTCCCCGCCCCCAGTCATAGTCACACACTAATATATGAAACAAACATAAAAACTGAACTGAAAGACACTCATATGTTGAAAATGACAGGAGAGTCCATCATTATATATATATATATATATATATATATATATATATATATATATATATACACACACACACACGTCAAATTCAAGGAATACAAACTGAACACTTGGGAATCACTTAAGTTTTTTCTGGTCAAAGTTAGATTTGTCTGGAAAACTGTTATATAAGCAATCTCAATACATAATGTAAAAAGAAAACCGAATGTGCTGAGCTATTAAATATCAAAGTTAAAGAATACTAACTACTCAGGCTACGACTGTTTCCACTGGTAAGTTTTCTTCAGGCAGTGGAAGTTAATAGTGATTCTCAAGTGTACTGTTAGTATTCCTTGATTTTGACATATATATATATATATATATATATATATATATATATATGAGAGGTGTGTGTGTGTGTATATATAGATATATATATATGGAGAGAAAGAGAAAAAAGATATAGATGGGTGTGTATATCTGTGTGTGTGTGTGTGATTTTAACAGATAAATTTACCAAAATTACACAAAAATATCTTGAAATATCCAAGAGTCAATTTAGTCAATGAAATCGCCATTAACTTCAAACACGACCTCCAGACAACTTTGGAATCTTCTGCATCTCTCATGGACAGCCTCCTTTTTTAAGTTGATGAATGCTGCCCTAATCCTTGCCTTCATTAAATCTTTGGTGTTATAAGGAGTTTTGTTGTTCTCTCACTCAACTGTGCCCCCCACACATAAGAGTTTTATAGTCTAGGGAGTTAGGTTGCCATATGTAAGGGGTGATATGGTCGCAGAATTTGTCTGACAGCCATGACTGCTTGTGCGGTATGGTGCAGAGTTCCGTTGCCAGACATAGGGTCTTCCAGCAGCCACACTCTTGACCCAGGACAACACTATCTCCTCAAGGCACTTGATGTAGGCCTTCATGTTGAGTCTGAAACACCCTAAAATGCCGGTATTGGAGCTTCTGGAGCAAATGTCAAGCAGTACAGAATTTCTGGTACAGTGAATTGCGTCATGGTGCTCTTTTCCTCAGAGATGGTAACCAACTGACCAAAATCAAAAACAAACAGCATACATGTACAAAATTAAAAATATAAAATGGTACCAATTTACCCATCGCATCACACATACACACATATATGTGTGTGTGTGTGTGTGTGTGTGTGTGTGTGTGTGTGTGTGTGAGAGAGACTTAGAGTATATGATTATTTAATATCTTACATCTTAGAGTAGATGAAAAGCTCTTGAAATGCTGATGTATCAAGTACACAATATTGGAAATGCAAACATGCAATGGTTACAAGTTTGAAAAAAAAAACAACAACAAAAACTCACCTTTCACAGCATAATCCAAATCCACATTTTTAGCTTCTAATTTAACAATTTCAGCACATTTTATAATAAGATTATCAATAACATTTTCCTTATTTGGAATAACAGAGTTATTATTGGGATTTAATCTATCATCGACCTTATGGGCCATTGACAAAATGATTTCCATCTGAAAAAACAAAAAAAACAAAATATACATGTATTTATCAACTGATGTTTGTATTCACACACACATAATACACACACCTGGGATGAATTTAAAAAAAAATAAATAAAAAAATAAAAAAACTCATTACTTAGCATTATGCTTAATTCCCATCTACTTGAGTGGTCCCTGTTTATATATACAATAATTTCAACAATTTTTGTCAAGTTTGAATGCTGGAAATTTTCAAATATAACTTTAGCACATTTTGCAATTTTGCTTGGATCTTCTCAACACCATTTCAACCTGAATTTTATGTTTAATTAACAGGAACTATTTACAAATGACTTGCGTTTTTGAAGTCAGGAATATTCAAACAATGGTTAATATATGGACAGACGCATTCTCACAGTGGAAATACCAGTTGTTCTTCCTTGCACGGATGTTTGTGCCAAAAGTCTCCATCATCAAACTAACAGTAAATTTATAATTTGTCCATAGAGAATGAATTCCTTAGTATTTTTTCCTATTTTTTAAGGTGGAGTGGGTATGACTTAGCTATGGCTTCATCTCAGTATTATAACCACATAACAGATTCATCATTACTTGATCAACTTTGGATCATTAACAAAATGCAAGAGCAGTTTGTGCACTGTTCAAATTCACTAAATTTTTTATAGTACTGTGTAGGTAATACAGAATAAATATTTTTTTAAATGAATCATTTCATTCAAATTCTTATGAATTAATATGGAGACACTATTTGAGTAATCAATTTAGCCAGAATATGGTAATAATATTGCCGAATTGTCTACAGTGTCAGTGAATCACAGGAAAACAAAATTCATTATTTCATACATCTTGAGAAGAATTTCAAGCTTAATACTTATTATATATATTAATCACCTTATTCTATAAGCAGAATAGAAATTGATTCCAAAGCACTGAAAAATCTTTTTCTTGATTTTCAAAGTATCTGCAGTACTGAGTGTTAAAACTTACTTAAAGTTAAGGTAAAATTGAGTCAAAATAATCAAATTTCATTTTTATAAGCTAATGTTACCAAAATGGTATTTTAAAATCACACTGTTGTCAACAATCTTATTACATTATAAATTTTACCAGGGTGTGTGTATGTGTGTGGTGGAGAGCAGTCTAGGTATATACTTTCCTAGTAGATAAAAAGATGTGTGTAATCAGTAAAGTGATGGAGAAAAACTCAAGAAATATATAAATTTATCTATTTTTAGTAAATTGATATTCTGTACAAATATTGCCAGAAAGTTATTTTGAGTTTTATTTCATTTTCTAGAAGTTAATGCTGTTTCTTTCCAGTACTGAAAAGTTGACATGCAGTATTTACAAGGGTTTTTTAAATTCTAAATAAATTTAACAATAAGATCTATTTAAAATGCCATCAAATATGCATTGTGTTGTGAAACAGAATTTTTTTAACATTTCTCCTCAAGTTACATATGGGAAAAACAATTCTAGCAAGAATAGTGTTCTAGTTCAATTTTAAATACAATCAACTCACAAAATAGTAAAATAAAGAAAAGAAAAAAGTAAGTACCTTCTGTGAAAAAGTTACAAGAATGCCTTCATACACATTTCCATTTTTAACTTGGATACTGACGGGGGTGCCCTGAAAGGGGTGAAAAATGCTTAATAATGAAGAAATGAGCATAATGCAGCTAACCAGTACTATTATTTTTATAATAGTTTCAATATTTCTTGTTTATCTAATGTATCATTCATATAATGAAAAAAATAAAAGTAAAAAAAAAAATTAAAATTTTTATTATAAAAAGTTACTTTCCTTTTGTTATCAACTTACAAAATTTTTGTCTCATAATTTTAACATTGATAAAATCCATGGATTAATGTAAGAATATTGATTGCAATTAAGTATAGCAGTTGTAATGGCAAAGATTTAAAAATGATTTAATTGATCATATATTTAAAAATGTTAGTGTATAAAATGAACTTACTATTAAACACATTGCTACATAAAGAAAGCGGCTGTTCCCGTACACGCCTTCACCCTAAGAAAATACAGATGTGTACAAATCAACAGAAAATGACTGATATAAAGCATACAAAAATGACAGGATGAAAAGCCAATACAAAAAAAAAAAAAAAAGAAAGAAAGAAACAAATTTTTTAAATTTACTTTTCAATGTTATTTGATAAGGAGTAAAATACTTTTATATTAAAGTGGAAAATTTAATTTCTGCTTTAGAATAAAAAATACATATAACATGAGTGCACATGAAAATGCAATATTAAATAAACTTATTAAAAAAAAGAAAAACTTTTACATTAGAGATTCTAGGAATTAAAGACTTTTTTTTTTCTTTTTTTTTTATTATATACAAACTCCCCCACCCCAAGAATTCAGTAAAACTAAATTTAATATATTCTGAATATTAGATTAATACAAGGTTTTAAGTGTTTGATATAAATTAAACATAAAAAAAAAACATTTGTCAACATTCATCAATTTATAATTAAGATAAGTTATTGAAACAAAATAAAATTAGTTCATGTGTTTTATGCAAATGTATATTATAGTTTTAAGTGTTGGGTACCTGCTAAAGACAAAGTTATCAGGTCAGTCTCCCAGATCATTGCTATTGAATTTAATTTTTCACAAGATATTCCACAACTATAGATATTTGATATTTCTTACCTCCACAGTAGAATATAAATTTACCATTTCTTTTTCTACAATATACCACAAAGTCACTCTATGAGAACATAGAAGCCATTATTCAAAGAGTTTGAAATGGTTATTTTAATTACTTTAAGAATGAGAGTACTTATAGAAACAAAGCACATCCATTCACTACTAATACTGAATGAAGTTCAAAAAGTAATTTAATGATACCAATCAATAAAAATACAGTGAGCTCAAAAATATACCTAGTATTGACAGTGAAATTTTACAATATATTTTCACTATCTAGATTTCAATGAATCCTTTACTCACCCAATAATCAATTCAACATGTTAAATAGTATTAATATCAAGACAAGATTCCAAGTGTTCTATCAAGTTGAATAAAGCAAGCAAAATGTCAAGTCTGCCTGATGGGAAACAATGAAAGGGAGAAAGAATGTGAACAGAATACATCATCCATAATGAAATAGCCAGCACCAGGAAGCAGCTCATTTGATTGCCACAAACTACTGCCACCACTACTACTACAACAGCAGCATCAGTCATGACAAAGGCAACTGTGAAGGCTTATTAGACTAGCAGTAGGCAGTGAGTTAGGAAGGTAAAGCAATCTGCTAGGCAAGCTATTGCACCATCATTTCAATGGAAAAAAAAACAAACAACAAAAACCACATTGGTATTGATTAGGGAATGTGTATGCTTATTAATCAAATTAAGAATGATCAGCAACTCTTTTTCTATCACACTCAATTGCTTCTCTAACTCCCATAGTCACTATGCAAAAAAAAGTAATATATGTAAGAGAGAGAAAGAGTAAGAGAACATATCTGATATTCCTAACTCATTGATAAGAATGTTAACAAGACCAGTTTTATCTTGGGAGCCATTTATATTATAATCACCACTATATGTGTGTACTGGGTCATAAAAATATCTAGACACAAAATCAAGTATTTTGAATACATCAATTTACATAATTAAGTGATATAAATAGCTATGAAGCTAATTTTATTTACAAAAGAAAGCAACTAATAATCTTATTACAGCACAATTGTTTGACAAGTTCTTCACCCAAAAATACAATTATTCAAATATATATATATATCAGGATGATGGAAGTAGAATTTTTAAATTTCTTAAATTACCTAATTTAAAATATTTCTGCATTTTTACAAATGAATTATGACTATAACAAATATCACAGGTGCTTCTACGTAGTGTAATGTTAACAAGCTCATCACATCAGCTCAATTAAGATTGTGTACTCTATACTTTTGGTCATGTGCCACATCTAAGCTATGCTTAGTAAATCGCTATTATGATAAATATATCAGAAAAATACTAAAATTGCTGTGTTCTTGTTTATTGATTGCAACATTTTCAGTTCATTGTTTTTTTTTTTTAGAAACATAAAAATGTGACTCAAATGCAATGGTTTGTGCTGTTTATAAAGGGATTGTATGTGATCAAAAATACTAAAATGGTTTGCAAAAGTTTTGCAGAATAGATTTCTTGCTGAATAATGTTCTACAGTCAGATTGATTGAGGTTGATAATGATTAAAGATATTAATTGAGAATAATTAATGTTGTAGGAGATGACTACATATTTAAAATATCCAAATCAAGCATTAAAAATAATACCCATGAGATAATTATGTTAATTGCTTTGATATGTGGTTTACATATAAATTAAAAGAAATCTGAACAGTGTTTCTGTATAATGTTGTTTTTGATATATATTGTGATGAGTGATTAAAGTAGATACTTTACAATAATGTTGAATGCAATAGATTGTGGTGCAAAAAATGAACCCCTACTAACTGAATCAAAAGGATGGTATTCATCTGAAGGTGACACTGTAAATATGTTGGGATTGAAAGACAGTCTTCTATTATGAGCTCCTTCCAGAGAACCAAACAATCGCTTTGAAAAAGTGCTGCTCCTATTGAGATCAATTGAAAACTGCAATCAAGAAATGTTTTTTGAAAAAGGGTATGAGGATAACATTAGATTGCAAGTTTAGTGACCATGTTGGGAAGTTTTCACCTGTCATGTTCAGATATTGCACTTTTAGACTATAATTTATTCCAGTTTTTACAGAATTGTTTACAGCAAAAATCCCCTGGAAGACTGCAAAAGACATATAGAGAAGTCCTTTTCTGAGAAATATAAAAATTCTGGGAGAATGGAATTATGAATTCACTTGAAAGATTGCAGCAAATAACTGGATAAAATAGTAAATATGTTGTTCAATTAAGCTGATGTTGAAACTAAGATATTTAGCTTCTATTTTAAATTAATAAACAAACTTACTAAATAACCCAATATTTATAATTTTATATTCAAGTTTAACTTTTTTTTTTTTTAAAGATTATTATCCTATTACTTGTTAGTATTGTTTGATTTGATAACTAAATTGTCCACAAAATTCTTTAAGGAAAATATATACAAAATAAAATTTTCCAGTTATAGATTGTAGACCAACAGTAAAAACCAAAATAACTTACATCATTTGGAATCCTCATTTTTCCTGATTTGAAAGAATCCTATACAAAATAACAAGTATAAAAATAACAATGGCTATAAAAGAATAAAGAAATAAAAAGTATTAAAATATTGTCAAGCAGCCACTAACTTAAAATTGGTTACTGAGAAAAATTTTTTCAAGATTTTGCATGTGCAATGATGTACAATGTCTGGAAAATAGCCAGTTATTTTGAATACCTGAGAACTGGTTGTGGAGCCTTGATGTAATCTAGCAACCAATCAGGTGATTTTACAGCACATACATAAACAGATCCCCCTATTAAGGTTACTTAGTTGGCAATGAGATGCCACTGAGTGATTAAATGAGCAATATGCAGATAAAATTTTGGTCCTGATATGTCAAACTTGGCTGAGAATCTGTTGAAAGTGATCCAAATTTTGGAAGATCTTCAAACAAGCAGAACATCCACAAAATATTGAACACAGATTGCAATCAAAGGGAATTAGTGATTAACTGAATTTGATTAATTGATTAATTTGTTTTCTACCTTTTGCAAATAAATTAAAGCCAGAAAATATTTTTAGGTTAAAGAATTTTTATGGGGAGTTAATGATTTACTGAAAAAAGTTTGAGGGGAGAAGAGATGGATTTATACCTTTCCCAAGACTATCTGTGTGTAACTCAACTGGAATTAGAACTTGGCTCCCTGATTAACAATTCTGAGCCATTATCCATTAAACCATCTGTACATTCAAGCTTGCTTGGTATTCTTAAGCAGTCACCCATCTAGGTAGTGACCTGGCTTGACATTGCTTAACTTCGGTGATCACATTCACTGAATTTCACAGATTTGGTTGAAAGATCTTGGTATGAAACAAATGGACAGCAAAACTTGTTCTGTGGTTCTTGTCACAAGAAGAAATCATGTGCTCAAGATGTATAAGATTTGCTTTAAAATTGTTAACTATCCTCAAATTTATCATAACGGGAGAGGAGTCGTAGGTCAATAGCTATGAACCCCAAAACAGAAGCCCAGTCTTACCAAAGGAAGTCAACTAAGACTTTATAGCAGAAGTAACAACAAAGTTTGAACTAGGTCAAATAATGACTGGTAATTCTATAACAATCTTGCATAGTTTGCTTTTTCTTTTCTTTTTTTGCCAAAACACCCCTTTACACTTGCTACAGTTCAATTGGCTCCCTGTGACTTCTAGTTTTTCCTAAAGTTTAAAAAAAAAAAAATCTTGAAAGTGTAATGAAACAATGCAGCTGACATCAATCCTAAAAGAGAACTTTGCAGACAGTCTCAGAAAGTGGAAAGGATGAAGATAAATGTGTGAGGTCTGAAGGGTAGAGGGCAAAGACATCATTACACTAGTTAGCATACTTTTTTTGTTAATAGTAACAAATGGATGCTTTTTAGACAGACCTCATGTCTATTTTAGCCATAAAAATTATTTAGTGTATTATATTCCTATCTACATTATTATATTTCATAAATAAAAGTTTAACACAACATGCTGTGAATGGGCTCACTATTCCTGTTACTGGCAATATCATGGAGAGCAGACTTCTGCTACATTGTGTTTATATAAAATCCCAAGCTCAGGTTTGAAACATTGCATGCCTGAACCAGTCAGTTGTCACAAAAAAGTTGACAGATTCCTAAGATTGTAAAACATTTTAAAATGTTACACCATTTGATGGAAAATAGCTGTCTTTCATACTTTATATGAAATAATAATGTGATAATTAGAGATATAATTATAATTTAGAAATATTTATATATTTTTCAGACATTTTAAAGTTATATTTTTGTTTTTAGCCTAGTAGATTAAGATATTGGTTTGTGAATTTGGTGAGATAGTAATTGTGAGTTCTATCCCTGGGCCAGGCAGAGTGTACTTGGACTCAGTGGAAACAAGCAAGCAATAACTGAGCAGTGATAAAAATAAAAACTAGATAATATCCTTAGACATGGACAGTAGAATGGGAATAGTCTACCCCTATAGATGAAATAAAAAGGGGTCAGTTCAGAATTCCCTGTTGGTTACCCATATCGATACACACCTGGTGAAAGCTGGACAGCACAACAGCCGAAATGTTGTAATAAGCAAGACAATAATCCGAATATAAATAGTGTAAATAATGATAACTTCACATCTCAGAAATACACACAGAAATGGCATCCAAACAAGTAAACCCAGCATGCAATTAGGTTTTGTCTTTTTAAAACATTTTAAAATAGAAATTTAAGATATAGCAATATTAATGCAAAAAAAAAAAAAAAAAAAAAAAAGTCAATATCTCATTTAAACATTTACTTTTTTAGCTGAAGTTAAATTTTCATGCAAAATTTTACATAAACTTAAATGAAAACTTACAACAGGATTTCTTGATTGGTTAGAGGATGGATTTCTGAAAAAAAAGAAAAGAAAAAAAATCATACAAATATCCAAAAAATAATACTGATGAAAGGAGACTGGCTGATAGAACTAACTCCCTTAATAATACCTCAAAAAAAAAAAAAAAAAAAAAAAAAAAATCAGTAGTACACAAAAACAATACTGACTTCCAAAATTGAATGAAACTATAATAAAGATTGGTTAAGTCATATTGTATAATAAAGATATTTCTAAGACTTTTTTTTTTTTTTTTTTTTAGAAAAGGGGATTGAAAAACTAAGTTTTCAATATATCCAATATACAATCTAGAAGTTTTAACTCAATAAAACCTGAACAGAAAAGAGATTATATATATATATATATATATAATTAAAATTTATGCAATAACTAAGTGTGAAATTATAGCTCAAAACAATTCAATAAGAAAAAAAAATTTTTTTTGAGAATTGGTGCTTATTTTAATAAAACACATTTTCTTTCAGATCTGAGAGAAAAAATAAATCTGGATCTGATAGTTAAAAAATAGAAAAATAAAGTTCATTTTATAAATATAAAAACATTTGAAGATTTAAAAAAAAAAAAAAAAAAAAAAATGTAAAGTTTAAATGTTAATTTCAAGTGTGAACCGTTCCCCCCCCCAAAAAAAAACGTTTCTATATTGTCCTTTGACTTTACAGATTAGCATGTGTAAATATATTTTCATTCTTCTAAGTAAAAGCATTGCTTTTAGAAAATGCAGTGAATTAATCCTTAAATTTACTAAGAATTCAAAACATCTCTAGTACAAATATTGGATTTTAAATTTGTTGTTCACATTTTTCATATACATTGACAACTCAAAGAGTCCATTAATAATGAAAACAGCACAAATGTTTTAAAATTGCCTAAAAAGTTTATATATGGAAATTTAGAATAGGTACCACTAATTTGGTTTACGTAACGTCTAAAATGAATTTTTAAAAATGAAAATGCTGTCATTTTAGCTTTAATTGAAAGCTAAAAGCGTTAAAATTTACTATTTCCAGTTAGCAAAATAATGTGGTGTATTTTAAACAGATTGATCAGAATTGATTCCTCACCCACAGTAAAATCAATAAAAATGGATAGTTTTGACAGGTTTGTAAACAAAAGTTAATTCCCAGTTTTAAAAATCTTGAAAAAATAAAATACATATATTTCTAAAATGTTATTTGAGGAAAATTAGCAAATTTAAAGTTAAATTAATCTGATTTGAAACAAATATTATTTATTTTAAGTTGAAAATAACAGAAAATGGATTTTCAAAACAGTAGCAGTGATTTATGCACTTGTCATCACCTGTCAATCACTCCACAAGTGCTGGAAGGTGTTTATTTGTTGTTTTATGGAGATATTATCTGTTAAAATATAATTTAAGAAAATTTTGCAATTCGGAGCAGATTTTCAGGAAACGAACAGTAGTTTAAAAAAGAATTGATGATTTACATTTTCCAAGGAGTCCTGCTTTTAACCAATAAAAAAGATTTGAGAGAAAGAAAATTTAATTTCATGAAATGAAATTACATTAATTTTTTTGTAAGTATTAACACACACATTATATATATATATATATATATATATATATATATGAGAGAGAGAGGTTTGTCCAAATAAGATGAGGAAAGTGTTCAAGATGATATGATTTGAAACCATTGATGCAGAGGTTCACTTTGCACTGTTCACATCCAGTTTTTGGTGCTCTTCTGATGTTCTGTTTGGTACACTGTTTACATGCCCCCCCCCCATCTACGAAAGTCGTTTATTTATTCATTCATTTGGGTTAAATTATTTTGCTTGTCATTATTTTTTTTAATAATTTTTTTATTTTTATTTCGTATCTTATATATTTATTTTTTTTTATTTTAATTGGTGTTTTTATTAACATAGTAAAAATTTGTTTATATCGCTTATTTAATAGTTTTATTTAGTTTTGGGAAGATAATTAAAGCTATTTATTCAATTTTGGGGTTGATTGTTGTAGTTTATTCTATTATTTTGGTGGGAGCAGTTTTTAATTTGTTCATTACTTCATGTATTTATTTGGATTGATTATCTTTGTTTTTTCTAACTGTTAATTTATCGGGATCAGTTTGTTTGTTAGTTTATTTATTTTGGGTGAATTTAGATTAATTTATTTTACTTGTTTTTTATTATTTGTTTATTATACTGTATATTTTTATTTACTCTTTTCAGCTTTCAATTTTTAAGTAACTTAGTATTTTTTTTTTTATCGTTATATAACAGTTATAGCTATGTTTTTCGTCCAATCTTTGGTTTGATTTTTATAGTCAAACTAATATTTTGGTAATGGTTTGTTAATTTGTTTATTATTTACTTTATTTATTTGGGTTCATTGATTTTGTTTGATTTTTGCCAACAATAACCAATCAAAAACTTGCAAACTTTAGCTATCATTACCTTCCCAGACCAAAATAAATTATTAAATAAAAGACCCTTGCTCATTTCAAAATGCAGACACAAAAACAAATTTTTACTACGTTACTTAAAAATTGAAAACCGAGAAAAAAAATAAAAAAATAAAAATGACAATAAAATAAGTAAAATAAATTAACCCAAACAAATTACAAAATCACACCTGTTAAAATAGATGAAATAGAATAAATAAATAAAAAACAAAATCAATGAACCCAAATAAATTTTTATGTTAATAAAAACAGATTAAAATAAAAAATGATACGAAATAAAAATAAACAGCCAAATAACCGCCAAAATAGACTACCCACAATGCACTATTGACCCATATATATAAATAGCCGAGAAAAATAACAGCACAAGTGGCCTGACGATTGTGTCTAGCATGAAACAGACTGTCGCCTCTAAGTGTTGACTTCTATGTTCACTTTTAGATTTACACATGCTTTCTCTGATATTGAGCACTTTATCCAATAAATATAGCACACCTTAAGACTATATTTCTTCATATATATAAAAACACAAGTTAGTCTGTATTATTTTTCATGTTGTATATAAAATTACTCATTTTTAAATTTTATAATTATCAATTTCCCAAATTGAGTTTATTTCTCAAATAATTAACCTTATCTTACCAAATTCCTTTTAGAATTTTCCTCCCTATCACTGCATTTTTTTTTTCTTTTTGAGGGTGCCAAAAACATGAGCATCTACTGCTTTAAAATTGTTAAAACTTTCTTTGTATTGTGTGTATAGATTTTATTTTTTGTATACTAATAAAAGAATGGATGAGTAATATTTTGATGTAATGCATTTTGTTTTGCATGCATGTTTTGACATTGAAAACAAAAAAGTTGAAAGACAAAATAAAAAACAAATACATTAACAATTTAACATACTTTAACTTTTATTAATTCTTGTGGAATTCTGGGGTGCAATAAGCAAAATGGCTAAGGTGGCATTCATTTTGTCAAATGTGACATCCTTCCATGTGTTTGCATACGAGTAGATAACAGTATCTGTTCCTTCCATTTCCTTCACCTTATTAGCATATATATTTGTCTCATTGACAAATAAATTTATTTCATCATTTATAAATAATTGAAATAATTCAACTTCAGAAAGGCTATCAGGTACATCCATGGGGACAGGAGCTTTTATAAAATTAGTCAGCCATGAATGATAGGGGCCTCTCAGAATCTCATGGTCATCATAGCTTTCCTCCCTGTCACTGTGTGGTTATCTTCAACATTGACATGTTTACAAAAAATCAAAAAAAAAATCATAAAATTAATGTGGGTTTAATTGATGTTACACCTTGTGTAGAGTGTAGAAATAAAAATGGTGTTGAAAAACAAAAGTTTAGCTTCATTCCAAAATGGGAGTAGGCTATCTCCAGCTTAAAATACCAGAAATAACAGCTGACATGTGTTTATTTATAGCAGGTGATAGATTGAACCTACAGGTGCTAAGGGAGAGAATTCTATGGCAACAATTTTCACCTCCAGCTAGATAAAGGTTAATAATATTTAAAATGTTATTGAATGTCTAATATATTTAATGTTAAATATACACCAATACAGTAATTTTATTGTTTGTGTAGTGGATTGGTAAATAGGATTTGCATATGTGAAGTAGAAGAGATATAAAGTATATAGTAAGCTAAGAGACATGAAAGAATTTGATTACTGATCATGTGTTTCGCAGCCCAGACTAGAGCTAAAAAAATTGAAAGACAGCAAAACAAGAGGGAAAATTAAATAATAGACCTCTTTCTAGCTTTAGCAAGTTGTGAAGCTATAATGAAAATTTGTTATGGCATACCCCAAACAACTGGAGAATTTGACTTTCGTCAAAATTTCAGAAATTATAAAAAATAGTTTATGACCTAAAAAGAAACCTGTCATAGCAGAAAGAACCAAATTTCTATCCATTAAACAGAAACAAGATGAATCAATTATACAATATCTTCACAGATTAAGAGAAGCTAACAGATTCTATGAATCTGAGAAACTTGGAACCTTTGACTATTGAGATGAACTGATTCAATTGCAGTTGACTGAAGCTATGGCTGATACATTTTATAAATATAAGATATTGGAACAATGACAATTGAATAATTTGTCTAACTGTATGTGTGGAAGTTGTACAACAACTGATTGATAAAAAAAAATATAATTCTACCAAGAACAATGTTGAAATGTACAGTAAAAAAAAAAAAAAAAAAATGTAAGAAATACAAATACTGTTAACTATGAGCATGAAATTGACAAAAAGAAGTGCCCAGCTTTTGGAAAAAATTGCCATAACTGCTGAAGAAAAAAATCATTTTCAGTCTGCATGCAAAATTAAAAAGCAAAAGAGAGAATCGATGACATTTTTTCAACACCTAAGGAAAAATATTCTTTTGAAAAAATTAAATTAATGGCATGATGTTTCCAATGCAAGTGGATATGGGGAGTCACTCTCATCCCCCAAATTTCTGGGAACAAATGGGTAAACTAAAATTGAGAAAAAAAATCTTCTGAATTTGAGATAATTTGATGGATCTTTTATTGATAT